AGCCTTTGCATGAGGGGTTAGAAAAATTGTCTTCAAGTCTTGCATCCAAATCTCCCTCTATCTCTCTCATTTTCTCAAAAACATCCAAGTTCTACACCTCATTTCTTCATCAACACCAAGAACCACCACCACCACTCCATTTCCAGCAGCAAGGAGGGCTTCTTAGAGGCTAAAGGTGCTGCAACTTGGTCCAAGGAGCAACCAAAGAGTGGTCTACAAGGGTGAGTTGCCATTTCCCCCTTTTTTAAGCTTATTTTTGCAACATTTCTTAGCCATATATGCTTTTTGCTTTGAGCTCCGGCCATAACTGAAAGTGGCCTTCTTTTGAGCTCTTTTTAACTTTTTATTAAGGGCTCAACCCTGTTTGAGCCCCCCATCTTGCACTTGCTTCAATGTCTTCCTTAAATGCTATTTTCTTGCATGCTTTGGCAGCCTATTATGCTTCGGTTTTTAGTATTTTTACAGTACTAAAAATAGTCTTATTTTGGTCCATTCTTCATGTTTTATTAAGGGCCTTTCATGGTTTGGGACCTCCATATGCTACTTCATGTTATATCCCTCCTTGGTCCCCTTTTCTTGCATGCTTTGGCAGCCCATTATGCTTTCATTTTTGGGCGTTTTACAGAACTAAAAACAGGCTTATTTTGAGTCCCTCTTCAACATGGAAGAAGGGCTCAATACTGTTTGGGACCTCCATGCTACACTTGCCTTTATATTCCCTCTTTGGTCCCCATTTTTGCATGTTTTGGCAGCCTATCATGATTCGGTTTTCAGCCTTTTTACAGTACTAAAAATAGTCTTATTTTGGCCCATTCTTCATGTTTTATTAAGGGTCTTTGGCTGTTTGATGAATATTTTGTATACTTTGTGTTATAGCCACTTTTGAGCCTCATTTTGCATTGCATTTCTAACATGTTTTTATACTGTTTTGGGGTTTTTACAGTTCTGTAAATATGTATATTTTTGGTCCCTCTTCAATGTTGTAGAAGGGAATTTTTTAGTTTGGGCTTTGCATATGCCACTTGCCTCTTTGGCCACCTTTTGGCCCTTTTTCTTGCATAAGAGCTTAGCCATATCTATGTTTGTTTTTGGGGTTTTTACAGTTCTGTAAAGTGACTTATTTTTGGCCCCTCTTCAATGTTGTTGAAGGGCCATAACCTATTTGGAGTTAGCAGCTATGAGTTGCTTCATAATCTCATGTTTAGGGCCATTTTTGCATGCCATTGTTGCCCTATCTTTGCTTGCTGTTTGGCCATGATTTGTACTGGAAAAATGCTTATTTTGAGGCTGCCTTGCTTCTGTCTTTTCATTCCATGTACCAATTATGCATGCTTTGTATAGCTGAAAGAGAGAGAGATATCCATACCGGGGGAGGATCACAAATGAAGTGTCTCCCTCCCTCAAGATAACGAAACTAGCACGAGACAAACGACGGCACGCAACACCGAGAGACCGGACAACAGAGTATCACAGAAAGAGTGCTATCAAATCCATGCGAGATAGGGCAAGGACTATGGCAGGACATAATAGACATGTTAATAGGATTTCAAGGCAATGAAATGTGGGGGAAAAACCAGCCCAAAAACATGAGCGGCGAAAACACACCGACTCATGGAATCCTCTCCCGAAACTGCAAATTAGGCGCATAGAATTGAACTACAGCTG